CTTAATATACTTAAAGGGATATATATTTACGGTAATAGGTGAGTAAGCAGCTTAATAGGAATCATATCCCTTTAAGTGTATTAAGGTTTAAGTGAGGTATTAAACCCACTTTTCTATAATACCTAAAAGATACTTTTTTGGTAATTATACCTGCTATAATAGAAAGATATAGCTCTTTATAAATTTAAATATTACTAATACTTACACTATTATATTACTTCTAACTATAAAATATAGTTTTTTAAGTTTTAAGCTTATAATATTATATAAGGACCCATTTTTTTTAATATAAGCTTATAATATAGAATTTATACTAGCTATCCGTAAAACTTATAATTCTATAAGTATCTTATTAGATTTAATATAATTTTTTATATTCGAAACTACAAAAACTACAAAACTACAAAACTACACTACTTCCAATGCTCTGCTTCTTAGTAAGACTTTATACCGTTTAACACGGTTTTTTCCATTGGCTAGAACCCCTGCCCGGTACGAAAAATGGACCTTAACACATTCAAAGGGTTATAATGGCAATTTCATATCCTTTTCGTCCTTTCCAGCCAGGGCCCAACCACGGCTCCCATCTATTATAACGGCCCTCCTCCTTCACATATCCACGCAACATATGCATACACGTTAGATACACCAGGCAACATCTACCAAGCATTGGATCAGGTTCCACAGCTCCAACAGGGCAGATATTGCAAAGTAGCGATATTCAGAAATAGATCATGGGCTAGCCATATTTACGGACGTATAATAGTATAACATGATAGTAGCAAGACCGAACTGCCAAACAGTATCCCCTCAGCCTATTAAAAGATCAAAGCCCTGTCACAACAACAAAAAAAAAAAAAAAAAAAAAAAAAAAGCCAGGACGCTTTGGCATTCGCCATGCCCAAGGAGGCTTGGCAGGCCGGGATCGTCCCATCCAACACGAGCAACGTCTCATATCCGCCACGGCTTGGCTGCTGCCATTGCGCGACATTGACGTCATGCTACCAAGGGAGAAGGCCTTGCGCCTCGAAGAAACAAACACAGATGCCGTGACCACTGTCTCGTGTAACCGCACACGTCGCCCGACGTAGAGTTGCGTTCAAGTAGTTCTGCACCTGGACCTGAGGAACCAACGGCCAGGCGTGCCTTGTTTCAATCTCAATCTCCATGACGCTACGGCCAGATGCTCCGTGGGCCTAGGCATTAGACAGTACAAGCAACAGCATATAATTTTCACGGCTATGCAACAACATTTGTATCATACAGCCCGCCGCAACTCCATACGAGCAAACCCCTAAGACTGCCACATGTGCTCACTCAACCCGAGCAGCTTATCATCCAGCTGCCTCTTGGCGGCAGTCGCAATGCCCCTCTCGCTGTTACTCATGCCCTCGCTGAAGCACAGCTCCATCAACGCCTTGAGCTCGTCGTAGGTAAACGACTCGGCTGCGGCGCCGCTGCCGGCCTCCTTGTCCTTGTCTTCCTTTGCCTTTTCCAGAATCGCATCAGGTCCCCTGTCAAACAGGGCGAAGTAATTCGCCGCCCTTGCCAAATCGACACCTTCCTCTACATTCTTCAGGTTCTGCTGGAGGACCAAGATGTTTAGCTGCATTCGCCCACAGCCCATTGCGTTCATGGGCGATGCGAGCCTCGCGTTGGACACGAGGTAGTTGTTGATGAGGAGGCCGAGTCCGGTGCGGATAAAGGCGACTTCCTTGTCACGGAGGTACCGGACAATGGTATCATCAAAGAGCACCAGCTCGAGGTTGAGAGAGAGGATCTGGGGGTCTGGCTCGCGGACCTCTTGGTCGAGGAGGTAGGGTGCGATGGAAGGGGAGAGGGCATTGTGGAGCGAGTGGACAATGCGGGTGCGCGCTTCGGCGTGGAGAGTGAGTAGGGCGGTTGTGGCGAGATCTTCGTATGAGGAGACGATGTTGTCGAACGTCCTAAACTTTTGTTAGCAGTGCTTCCCGTGAGTTATTGGTGAGAAGAAGGGGGGGGAGAAGGCAGCGGAACTCACTGTACTGTTTCTTGGGTAAGAGGCAAGTGGACGGTATTTTGGTCCGAAGCAGCCTTGCTGTGATCGTTCATCAATGTCCATCGTCGCTTTGCTTGTCGAGGCAAGGCCTGTCTTGAAGAATCCGTGTCATGGGTTGTTATGTACCGCAAGCTCGAGATCCTGGCCGACAGCCATTTCATGCTCGTGTATAGGAGACACAGTGATGATATGATGTCTCTGTCCTGAATAATGTCGTTCATTTCAAGGGGCGGCGCATTGGTTTGCTCAATCAGGGCTTGAGTCTCCTTGGACAGAAGCTCTGCCGCAGAAGATTCCTCGGCGGTCCATACCTGCTTCATAATGTCCTGCAGTGGCCCAGGCTGGATGGAGAACCGTGCCGATGCCCTCAAGTTGTTTGCATCTCCGCTGTGGTCCTGCGTTTTTGTCACAAGAGACCTGTACCAGGTAAAGCATCTGTCGTGGTAGCGCATCATTTGGGTGACAATCAGCGAGCTTAGTGCTTGGTCCGGAGGGATCGTGCCCAGCATTTTGCAGAACGCAGTGACAATCTGGAAGAACTGGGTCGCGCCTTTGAACACTGGCCGTGGCGCCACTTGTTTCCACGTTTGGTCTTGCAGGAAGGAATCTGCTTCTCCAAACACTGTGTCGCTGAGCTTGCTAAGCGTCTCGTCGAGTTGGGGCTGGAAGACGTTAACAAGGAAGTTGTCGAGGAATGTGGTCAGTGTGCTCGTGGCTAAATCAGAGCCCGGAGGAACAATAGTCTTGAGCCGTTGAAGAAACGTCAAAGTGGGGGGAAGCAACAGGCTCATGTTGAAGACGCTCGGCTCAACTAGTGACTTATAAGAGCCAGTCGACTGTTTGCCGGATCCCACCAATCCTTGACCTGTATCTCGTCTCGTGAGACTGGCATCCAGAGCGACTCGGTTCTTCTTTGAATCTAGACCATGTTTCCGCGTACCACTTGTAAGTCCCGGAACGGTGGCGTGAATGATTCCCTCCAACGCATCGTATTCCGTCACCATGTCAACAGACTTGGCATCCGCTTCTGCAAACTTGAACAAATGTTCCCTCATGGCGTCCTTCTTGCCACTCAAATTGGCTCCCGGATTTGGTGAGTCAAACTGGTAAACGTCTGCATCAGTGGTGACATAATTGTGCAGGAGGGATCGAATCTCATTTTGATATAGGTTCCAAAGCTCTTTGAAGCTTCCCAGCAGGGCACTATTATTTCCAGCTCCTTCGCGCCGGATAAGGGCCTTGATGAACTCATGGAATGCGCGCTGGCCCTCTCCGATAGCTTCAAACTTGCCGTAAAGTGTCCATAGCAAGTCGTATATAACATCGGCTCGCATCTGCGTCTCGCGGCTATTGTAAACAAAGACCCCGTCTGTCTTGCCAGCAGTACCACGGAGTGAGCTTGGGTGTCTCTGATCGACTTCATTGATGGTTTCGTTCACAACTCCAAACAATTCAACCGGCAGTCGCTGCTTCAGGGTTTCCACAGCGTTCTGCAACCGACCAAGCCTATTCAGTGACTCAACCAGCAACCCAATATAGTTGAAAGTGTCGGCCTCGGGATTCTTCGTGGGGTCCTCGGTAACCGCATTTTCCAAATCAATAGAATCCAGCACCGAATGAAAGGGCGGGATATTATTGGTATCACCATATCCGTCACCATGGGCTCCATGTGCCTTGGCAAGGCTCTGCCACCTGTCCTGACAATACGGCGACTTGAGATACAGGTGATCGTGCAGCTCCTCTACAAGAATGTCCATCAGCGCGGTTTCCTGGTTCGCGAGGTATAACCTCAAATCGTTCAATGCACCAATGCCATCCAATTCTGGTCGCCTGAGCTTGCGCAGCGCATTTTGTAATACTTCTACAGCACCCAGGAATCTCTTTTCTGATATCCGAGCTTCTAGTTGATCGGGCACGGCCCGCAAGTCGTCCAACTCGTTTAATGTCTGAAGTAGTTCATCGTACTCTGTTGAGGTATGAGAGAGCTTCTTGAGCTCTGGATCGGTGGAGCACAGGCTACCCTTGGAGCTTGCCAACGACTCCCTGAGCTCTCGGACACGTTTCTGCGACGCTTGAATACTGCCTTGAATCTTGTGAAACGTACCAATCGAACTGTTGAATCCTTGATGGTGCTCGTGTACAATGTTTTTCAGCGAGTCCTGGAGGTACGTATGCGTCTCCTGGAACTTGCGATATTCGTGGGCGCGGCCGACAGAGCTCGAGTCGAGCAGTTGAAGCGCAAGTTGAACCGGAATGGAGTCGTTGTCACACATGGACGGCCAGTCGCTTCTGATGTGTTCCAGCACTTGAGCGATCTGTTTCTCAGCGTTGGTCTCCTGGACGCGAGCCCGTGAGGGCATGTTGCGAAGAGCTTGCGGCGGCGCCCTTGCTCCAAGCGGCGGACCATACCGGTCGCTTCTGTCATTCGGCCGGCCGTCGCTATAAGATTCGTATGCGTCTGGCGCTCTGCCAAAGTTTCCGTACCCGTTGCCGTTGCGCATGGGGACGGCGCCCCCTGCGTAGCGGTTCGATGACATGGCTGACTGACTCTTGATGATGGGCGGTCAAGGAGTGTCGAGCAGCTGCGTGGGCATCGTCGCTCTGGGTGCCGGCAGTTTCCTGGGCTCAATAAACGAGCGTTTTCCGGCTTATGTTCTGCCTTGCAAGACGATGCGGCCCATCGGGTAGGCTTTTTGGAGTTGGAGGCTTGGGCTTGGAGAATACAAACGCATTGGAACGACGTCGAGATGCTGTGCACGGGCCAAGTCGGCAGTCAATACCAGACACCAGCCACCAGCCACCAGCCACAATGTAGTTACACAGTCCAGGTCACTCTCTGCCACCCCCGCAAGTTGGTTGCCCAGCCAAGATGCCGGACAGAGCGCAACATTCTACGCATCCATCATGTACGGAATTGTTTCTACCAAATGGATGACAATATGTCCTCCCCCCCAACGCGGCACTAAGCAAGACCCCTCACCGGCCTAATGGTATCAGGACTTCCCGCACTTGAACTCGGGCTGAACTCGTCAATATCTGGACCCGCGTCCTGGCTCGGCTCCACCATCAATGGAAATAATGGCGTATGCGGTCTTCTTCTCGCCTTGATATCTTGACCAAATTGCCCCTGTCCCGCAATCGGCCTCTTCTCTGCCGCCGCACCAAAGTGCAGCATGTCCTGCGTCTGGGATGGTATGTCCGAAACCTCTCCCGGAGTCGCCTCATCTCCGCCGACGGCGACTTGATCCGACCGAGCTGCTCCGGAGTCTGTTGATTTCTGAAGCCTATCGTCCTTGGCGACAATGGCCTCTGCCAACCTTCTCACGCCAGCAGCTATCACTTCTGGTCTCTCCCATATCAGCAGTCCAGGACTGCCCGGTACACGTTGCCACGAAACAATGTTGTAGCTTCTCCGTCCCCAGCCTCTACAGGTATGGACATATGGGCGTGGCACAGGAACAGCAGCACTCGACTCTTGGTCATCCATCTGGTTCCGGTTGTCCTCAAACACCGTAATTCCAACCGTGGGCTTTTTGGGACCCGTCTTCAAATCATCCGTAGCCGACACACTATGTGCTAAGAGCCTAATGGTCCCTTCCGGTCCGGGCAGCCACGTCAGTTCAGCCATCTCGATAATCTCTCTTTTCGAAAGCTGGTGTCTAGGGCCCAGCATTCTCAACACCATGAGGATAAACAATAATAGCCCCGTCGGTGAGTCGCACAGCGCATAAGAAAGGGTATTCGGCTCAAAGACTTTATTTACACGCAGCCCGGGATTATCAAGTGGCCCTCGGTTCGGCTTGTCTTGGTGCCGAAAAGCAGTAATATCGTCTTGAGAATACCCCAGCACAGGTTTCGAAAATACCATGACTGTTTTCCACTTGATCCATTCCAGCGGGGCGTTTTGCAATGTTGGTTGTTTAAACGCCGGCGATACGAAATGGACGCCAAGGCAAGAGTCCGGATGGGATGTGGCAACATGGTTAATGACTCGCCAGTCAATGTCAGAAACGGAATTCGGCGATGGAGCAGCGTTTGTTGCAAGATAATGGATATACCCGATGCGCCGCATTAACGTGTCGAGCATTTCGGCAATAAGCGAGATCATGCGTTTGTTGCTCGTAATCGGGTCGCTAAACCCCAGACCCGGCAGCGATGGGATAACCAAATGGAAGGGAATGTCCCTGGCCGGGTCGTTGACAGTAGTAAAGGCACTGATAGCGTGCTTTAGGGACAGGTTTGTAAATGGAAACGGAGGTATCAGGAGTAAGGGAACCGCGTTGGCGTGTGCAGAACGTGAATGAATAAAGTGCAGCCGGACAGGGCTGTCGGAGGATGCCGTCCGGATCGTGATTCGAAACTGAGGGATGCTGGTGTTGAACTCGGCTTCTCGTTCGCGCCATGAAGTCTCCCCCAACCTGGAGCCATGGTCAGCCTCGTCGGGTTACAGAATTCGTGACTGCATGTATAACTGGTCCAACAGCAATGCATACCAGTAATCGACCAACGGCTCAACCGTCGATTTGGGCTCCCACCATTCATCATCGTGGGCATGTGGAACATCGTGCGGAAGCCGGGTAAGTTCTAGCTTCTGCCTCGTCAAGTTGAGATACCTGCTCGACACCTACACTCGTCAGCTTAGCAAACCCCCGTAGAACCAGACGAGAGACCTGTGGGAGAAGGAAAAGGAAAGAAAAGGAAGAGGCCATCTCACATGGATAGTGTACACCTTGACTTGTTCTTCTGGCACCGGCGCAGTCTCCTCCGACCTCGCCATCATCGCAAACTCCAAGAATCACGCGAAGCGAGGCGAGCAGATTGTCCCGTCGACAAGACGGCGCACAGAATCAATTCAAGGATCAAGAAGAATGTTTATGAAGAGTACTCCGTGCCAAGGGCAAATAAAGCTAGCACTCACGGCAATTCAACAAACCCTCCCACTCGCCACGACGCCCGCATCAAAGCGCATATCACCCGTTAGAACCGTTGCACGCAATATCACATACCCCTGTGTTGTACGTAGCCCTCGGACAGGCGGACCCAGAAGACGATTCTGTGTGGACCAGTTTCTTCACCTTGTGGCGCTTGCAAGGCATCAGCGAGTCCCATGTCCTGGTTCGTGCTACGACAGGACCATGAAAGTATGGCCAAATACCCTATTGTATGGAGCACAGTGGCAGCTACTTCGGCCTTCGGAAACAACCTTCTTTTCACTGAAGCTTCGAAACTTGGAGGCTCGGAATCTAAGCGGGATGAGACCGGAATATGAAACAAGTGGCGGTGCACGGGTATGCCCTGCTTGCCTGGCAAATTTCGGCCACGTGTGGCTCATGATCTACGTTGATGGCCAAATACTATTTCTTGCCGGCAGAGAATAGTAATAAGGGGCGGGAAGACGGATGTTGAAGGAGTTGCTTCACACTCGATTCGAGGTTTCGTTGAGGGCATTGCCACCAGGATATCGTCATGGGGCTTTCACCACGATGGAGGCGAGACCGGCGAGCAGTCATGCAACATATGCGTGCTGAAAAAAGATGGTTTCTAATCTCAATCTTCAATTAAAGCAAAGCGCTGCGAAGACGGCCAAATCGGGCGGAAAGTGCTGAGTGGACAAGAAATTGAAAAACTCCGAGGTTAAAGGTCTGGACTCTGCAGCGGACGCGCGATCTGCATGCCAGTACCGAGTAGTGAAGTATAAACTGCCCAAATTATGACCACATACCCCTTTCTTTCACCAGGGCATTCGTTTGATATAGAACATAATGAAGAGCGAGAGTAGCCTGACAGAGAGCAAATTCTGAGCCAAGACTAGAGTTTCTATAAGATGGAACTACTGCCCAAGAAGCAAAGACAAATTGTCCAAAAATTAGTTTTCATCCACATATATCGTAAAGCTCTCTGCTCATCCCCAAAACAAATGCATACCCCTTGCCCGCAAAGCGAGGCCGCCCCTACTCCAGCTGTGCAAAAGTCGTCTCCGCCGTCTTCTCAATCTCTTTGATATCCATAGGCTCGGCCTGTATTTTGTCAGACTGGTTGTCACACTGACAAGCAAGAACTGCAAGTGCAGAAGACTTCCACAACGGCACATTCCGGCTTTTTCGGTTCCCGATTATCGTGGTTAGGGCAAACAGCAAAGCTGCAAACTGAATGATGCCGGGTCCTATCAAATACAGCCACCGGATGGAAACAAAGGGTTGGCTGCTGAAGCTCGTCCCGACTGCGGGTATTGAGTTTGGCCCAGAGCGTAGATAACTTGTCATGCTAAGAGCCATCATCTCGAACCGCTTTCCAACGTCCACGTTGCCTGAAAGCGCGGCACTGAGGCCTGAGTTCTTATTCACCCAGTTTCCTGATACCCACTTACTTGCAATTGAATCAGACTCGAGGTAGACTTGCAAGGCAACGAGGTCGCTCCGAGTTATTGCAAGGGTAGGAATGCCCTGGACCTTGGACTCGTTCAACTGTGCCCTGGAGTGTGGGCTTAGACCATCATCAGTTACGGGTTCCCAAAGGGTTTTCGAATTAACCACGACCTCTCGGGTTTGTTCAAATGAGAATGTGCTGCCGTTCGCTCGGGCATCATAAACTGTGAGTGACAGAGAACAATCCGTAATATTGACGCCCCAAGCGTTCAAGTCACCATCGCTAGTAGACCTATACAAGGCGAAACGTGCAATTTCAAGAAGTCTGGTCCGCAGCTCGCCGTCTGACATCCGTCTTGAGAAAATATTCATGTAATAGGTAGTTGTAAGGTCAGTTTCCACGTGTCGAGTCTAGATGCCCAAACCGCTAGGCGTCGTCATGTTGCAGAGAGTAACTTGGATCATCGTAGGACTCGGCACATTTTGAAGTCCCCAGTGTTGCTTTTGTGACATTCGTGCATTCAGTCTTGAAACCAAGGCTTATGTACCTCCCTTCCCACCTACATTCCCCTGAGCAGCTGAAGAACTCTGGACTGCTAATGTTATAAAGTCCTCGTAAGATGGCCACTTGTAGTCGTGGATCCTGTGGGATGCCGTCTAGTGGAATTATGTTAGCCGGGAGCACTTCCTGTCTATTCTCAGGATGTATTTACCAGGAACATTATTTGCCAGCATAAGCCCACGATTATATTCGTGCGCATATCCAAAGACAGCGTCGTCTTCCGGGACCAATTGTTGCTCGATCTTTACCACTTGCTGGGTCAGTGGCGACAAAGCGACTCGAGCTATTGTAATCAAGGCACCAAGAGTAGCCAGGTTCAACTTGACTGTGGCAAGAAACATGACGGATCCCCAAGGCCCGCGACTTGCTTCGTCGAATCTTTCCAACTTCTCAAGCTTATTGACTCCCTCCTTAAAACGGAGCCACTTGATTTGGCCAATGAAATTGCCAACGCCATGCATTAGAGCCGCTCCATAGGCGGTTGTTAGAATCGATATGGCTGCGTTAAGAGAGATGATGCTGTTCCAAGCCGAGAGCGGCTTGTTGTCCATGTTCCAGAAGATGATTATAATTGCGGCGAGGCATAAAAGACTTGCGAATGTACTAAGCATCTCCAAGAGCCACTCAGAAGGAGAGGATATACCGTGGCGCTTGTATTCGACCGAGGTGGAACTCGGCAACTCGGATTCGTCCACGGCATGCGCAGGGTTGTAGTTGTCAGTCCTTGAGTTGAGTTGACACCCAGACATTCTCAGGGTATTTTAAAGATGGGTAGGAGCAAGTAGGAGTGAAGTTTTTGTAAGCCGGGGTCTCGCCTGAAGGTAACATCAAGCTTGGGAACTTTTCCGCGAACTCGAGGGTATATATATATATATGTATATATATACACGTCTAAGCTCCAGTAATCTGTCATTGCAGCGGCTTTCTTACGAGGAAATACAGCCATCTACTACATGTTTGCTATTCAAGCGTAGGTAAGCGTGGTGGCTGGGCTATCGAGACAGCCGCAGCCTGCGAGAATGGTAGTCAAGAGCCGGGGTTGAATACCAATGCAGATACTTGAAGGGCCATCCTGTTAGCATATCTTGCACCAATAGGTCCAAATTGAATAATAAAAGGCTGGAGGCGAATGCCACAGAGGGCGGAGGGTCGCGAGCGTGAGGTGTCTCAAGTTCTCAACCTTTCACGATTGCCCTTGTTATCAAGCCTTCGTTTCAAGAAACCCAGCATGGTTGCCTTTCGCTTCCAGTTTTCGAGTTACTCTCAGCTCCTCTCACAAAATGGACCAAGGTAACAAGGAGGACTACGTGGTCTATGGCAGTATTGATGCCCAAGAGCCGTGGAATACGCCACGGCCAATTTCCCGGGAGCAATGTTTGCACAGAATCCACCCTCGAATGAAACATACGGTGCATAAACGGGAAGCGAATCGTTTCTTCCCGACTCTCGGCAGGAGTAATTGCAGTTCCGCAATCGTCACCGGAACTTTGGCGTAGATACGCCCCTGTTTTAGACAGGTGAGTGGTGCCATGTTTGTCGTTCAAAATAGATTCGTAATGTGGTCAGTTTCCCCCTTGGCCCGGGACAGCCTGAGTGGCCCAGCAGTCGTAGTATAAGCTGATGTTTGTCTGGTTCGTAAGCCTGATCCCCCGTCGGTGGAATCTACGCCCCATTTACCCCGTATACTCGGGAATACGTCCTTCTCCGCGGCACCGTACGCAACTTGCATGCGTCTCATAGGCTTAAAGTGATGGTTATCACGGGTGTCGAGACGCAAGTCATTTGAAGGTTTGTCCCTTCCCCGAGGCTTCACACTAGATAATGCTCAGCCCTTGCTATGGGACACCAGCAGCTACTGCAGATGTCACTTGAGAACTTCGACACGACTAAAGAGTACTCCTTACGTGAAGTCATTGGTTCAAACTTGATGAAAATAAGAAATTGTCAACACCACCACTGCCAAAAGGGGAAAGGGCGTGGGGGATAGCATGGTCGAGGAAAAATGGTAAACTGGTGGTGTCATCTCTGGAATATTCCATTGAACTCTCCGATACGAGCGGCCGCTCCACTCCGCACTCAAACTGAAGAAATGGATATACTCGGCAAGGCCGCTTCCACTTATTGAAGCCATATTTTTCAGGACGTACATGTCGGGGCTCGGTAGACACAAGGTCACATCTCCGTGGTACCCGGGGCCAATGATTGTGTTCCCGCTAGCATATCTGTCCTGCCAGCACAGAATGTCTGTGCCGTGTCATGGAATCGGAGCCACTCGTAGTACCGCAGGAAATTACATACCCGGCTCCCCCGAAGCTGAGGCTCAATCCCAGCCGTGTTTGCTTCGAGCAAGCCACGCCCCCATTAAAGCATGGTATGTCGCACCCGGTTGAAGGGCACCAAGGCTGCGACCTAGTCATTTTTCTTCTGACTTCCAATAAGTAGATGCAGCGTTCGAACAAAGAATTACGGTTAGTTATGGATATTACTGGCTTATCCAGACAGACCGGTCAAACTGACGGGCCTCGTCTTTGATGCCTTGCTGGCCCAGGATTCATCCATCATATTAATTATTCGCATTCATACAAGGCCAAGTGGCTAGATAGCAGAGAGAAGGACACTTGACCGAGAGAAGAACCAGCTGCCATTTGGCAGTCCCTTTGAGTGTCAATGTGGCGATCAAGTCTGAGTATCGCTCAATTCCAAGGGCCGACTCATATTTAAGACTCCATATAGCATTAGCAGTACTCCGTAAGTTAGTTTAATAAATTGCCCCACTGCGACAATCTGGTACGGCTAGAGGAATTGTTGATGTTTCGAAGCCAGGCTCAAGCCTCGACGTCTGATCAACCTGGGGAATTAGTGGGCCAACAACCCCGGTTAGCATTCAACGGGCGAGTCCTAAATCGGGGAGCAGGGGCAGCCATCATTGGTCGGCAGCAGTGGGGTCCACGTGCTGCCCTGGCGGGAACCGGGAAGGTGCGGCCCCGTTGTTTACCGCCGGGTGCTCGGGGCAAATCACAGCACACCAATTCTCGGCTAAGGAGAAGGACAGGGGCCTGCAGATACAAACTATTTGTTAGGGTATATAGCGAAGATCACATTGGCATGATGCCGACTTTCACTCTGTTCCTTTTCAGCCCAAAATTCGTGAACAGAGGCAGGAAGGAATCAAGGTGACCACGGTGGTCAACCGCGCACCCGCGACAAAAGAAGCTCGCAAAGGATATAGGGAAAAGTATTTAATGTTGTTCAATCCATTTCTACAAGATAGCTCTGAGCGTTGACTGTTGAGCTCACAGACTTCTTACCGCATACAATATCAAGACATACAAACTCTATTTCCAATAGCGTTGCCTTACTCGACTGCATGCAGTGATACACCAGAGCCAAAAAGCCCTTGCGACAAATTTACAAGCTGAAAAGAATGATGTACATGAAATCAATGACAACCAGTCCGTCGAGCCCTGACTGAGTTTTTCTTTTTCCCCCCCCCCCCCCCCTCTTTTTTTTTTTTTTTTTTTTTTATTTTTTTTT